GTTTATTCGAACGGCTTGCCTTAATCTCAGCACTTTAAATATTCCCTTTTTATAAACAATTCAAACAAAGCAATAAACACCTTCTAATAAATGGAAATGACTTGGGTCAGAAAACAAATTTTGCAACTTTTCCACAAGAAGATTCACATTTGAATTTTTTTTGTAGGCAAATATCAATGATCTAAATTGGTTGTATACATCCTCCCCCATTAGAAGTTTCACGTCGTTTAAGAACTTGTTTGCGCAAACCAAATTATTGCTGTCACTTTTTTCCTGAACCTTAACGTTCGCTTCGTTAAATGTATTGATTAATGAATAACCCTGCAAATTATTGAACAATCTATGTAAATTGATACAATTTTTACAAATTAAAAAAATCAAGGCCCAGTCATAACCTTAACTTAACGAAAAATTATAAAAAATTAATTGTGTAAAACAATAGCTGTTGTTGCAGTGACAGGGTTTGGATGTCAAGAGATCAACGCCTATCAAATGCAATGTATGCGCTGTTGTTAAAACTTCTAATTAAGAATAAATTGGCAACCGCAATAAAAATGTATAATGCTTAATTGCTTATTGAATATACTTACATTGTCCATTTCAATTATTTTACATTCTGTAGTTGTTTTAAAAATATTTCTATTGGAAATTTTCTTTGTGGCTGTTGAAAGTAAACTTTGTGATTCTGAATCATTCTTCTGTATAAAAAAAAGTGTGTCAAATTAAAATGATATGTATCATTAACAAGTATTTGTGTTATGGAAAAGTGTAAAAAAAAGTAACAGGTTCAAACAATTTCAAAATTTAAAAAAATTGACAGATTTTTGTGTTGAACATGAATTATATAAAACTGTCGATTTCATAAAGCATTGAGTAATTTTTATGAATCAGTTAATGGAAAGATGGATGTTTATTGTTTACTGTATGGATAAGGTTAAGAAGTAACGATTTTATATATAACTGATCCGTGGAAAATTATGAGTAAAAATGCATTTTAAAATGGTTACTGAAAACAAATTTCTTAAGCTTTAGTGTCTTGGTGCTAATGCCTAGTAATTCAAAAGTAATTAAGATCTAACCAAGATATTTACATCAAATATATGTTAATGTACAAAATTTGCAAAGTTTATGAAATAATTTTCCTTTAAACGTTTTGTTGACCAAAAAGATTGCTTCCATTCAATTTTTTTTAAATCTTTGTTGAACAAGAAAAATTTTTCTGTTTAAGTCTATCGAAACTCTGGGGAAGGCAAAAATACTATCTTATTCGCAACACGAAATAAAAACCAATCAATCGTTTTTTACATTTGCCTGCATTCTTAAATTCTGAAATAAAAACATTGACAATATGACTCTCGTGGAATGTCACATAAAATATCTTACCTAGTAATACTCCATCAATTGCATCTAATAAAAATAATGACCCGCTATTCAAGTGCCACTTATTTGCAGTCTCCTTTATAATCAATTCGAGTAACGGCAATGCGGTAAAGTAAGAAAACGATTATAATAAATTATTAAATGAATTTTCACAAAGTAAACCAACTTGCAACTTTCATATACTAATACATTTTATAATTATTCAACATACTCTAATGTATAAAAATATATTACTTAAGGCTCTGAAGATGGCGCTCACGCCGAAGCAACGTTGTAAGCCGCACTATGACACAACTGTTTAATAAATATGATTTAACCCAAATACGAAATGTTGAATCTATTGGTAAAAAACTAATCAACGCAAAATGGGCAAAAATATTTAATGAAATTTATATATATATATATATATATATATATATATATATATATATATATCAGTAAATTTCGGTAACAAATTTTTATTTAAGCATATTTCATTAAACGCGTGCATTACGTCATCTGACAGTTTATTGTTATGTTTTATTTGAATTAATATTAAATTGCCTGAAGATGAATTATAAAATTCGAAACGTCGCTTAATAAATAATTATATAATGAATATTGGTGTTCTAATTTTTAATTTAAATTATAATTATAAAAAACTAATAAGAAAAATAGAAAATCTTAATAAAAAATTAAATAACAATAATATAAGCATCGCGTTTAATGAAATATGCTTAAATGAAAATTTGTTACCGAAATTTACTGATATTAAAACTTGCGATTTAACAAATAAACATCAGGAAATTACTTTATCTTACAGAAACAACAACAACACACGTTTAGACGGCATTTTCCCCGAGATCGGGGGTTGCCGTTTGGCTACCTATGATGAAACCGAAATACCCCTCGACGCCATCCACATCTGTCACTCGCCTCAGTATCACGCAACCCCGCTTTCACCCTGTCCTTCTCCACCTGCTCTCTCCATCCCAATCGCGGACGACCCCTTCCTACCACTCCTTCAACCTCGAACTCCAACGCTCGCCTAATCCCGACCCATTCATCCCTTCTCAACACATGTCCATACCATCGCAATCTCGATCTCCTTATCAATGTCACAATGTCCTCATTCAGTCCCATCATTGACATCAGCTCTGTACTACTCCTCCTATCCTTCACTTTAACCCCACACATCATCCTCACCATAGCTCTTTCAGCCCTCTGCAGTACACTTTCCTCCTCTCTCCTCAACACCCATGTTTCACCACCATATACCATCGCTGCTCTCACACATGCTTTATATACCCTCCCTTTCATCTTCACAGACCATTTCTTTCCACACAATACCCCACCCAGTTCACTAAATTTCATCCATCCCACACGAACTCTAGCCGTAACTGCACTCAAACATCCTCCATCCGCATTCAGCTTATCCCCTAAGTAAACAAAGCTTTCCACTCTTTCAATACCACCACTCAACCACGTCCTTGCGTCCGTCCTATTAATCACACCATGAACACATTTCTTACCTTTGAACGTGCCTTCCACCTTTTTCAGTGCCCCCCTCACACCACTACATCTCTTATGCACCCATTTCTGACATCCTATACACAATACCGAGTTAGCCTTCACTCTCCTATCACATACCCCACAGGGGTCTATTTTACTTATCACTCGCTCCCTACCTTCCCCACTCACCATTACCTTCGTCTTACCAATATTAACTTTTAACCCTTTCTTTTCAATAACACTTTTCCATCTGTCAAATTTTAACTGCAATTCTTCCATGCTATCAGCCATCAAGACTAAATCATCTGCAAACTGCAAACAGAAACGGTGATAACACTGATCCTTGATGCACTCCTACCTTAACACTAAAAGCGTCCGACATCCCCCTTCCAACCCTCACCTTTGTCTTTGCCCCTTCATACAGCTGCATCACAGCTTTAACAAGTCTCTCATTCACTCCTTTCTTCCTCAACGCCCATTCAATGACCTTCCTCGGTACTTTATCTTACAGAAGAAATTTAATATCTCGCGAAATTGAAGATAAGCGGAAAACTCGTGATGAGTTACAGCACGATTTGGACCTAGCGTATGAAACATGGAATAATATAATTGATATTGATATAGAACTTAAAAATAAAATTATCGATCAACATTTTAATACATCAACAAATAAAATAATTGATAAACTATCTCGTTTATATGGCGGTAACTTCAAATTTCCTCGTCCTCAACAAGGTTTTGTCAATTTGTCAGATATAAAATTGACTTATCATCAAGAACGTTTGTTAAACTTAGGACTAAACTGTCATATTTTAAAGAAACCACATAACTTACAAAAACGAGTTGAAATTGAAGTGCTCATCGATCAAATTTTAAAATTGAATAATGATAAGAAAGTCATCATAAATCAATCGCTCATCCCTGACCTTATTTCAGAATCCCATAAAAATAGAGGTAACTATAATAGTAAAATACTCGACAAAGAACTTATAAATGCTGCCAAGCAACTTAAATCAAACAACAATATAACCATTCGAAAAGCCGACAAGTCAGCGTCATATGTTTTGATGAACACACCCGAATATCTCCAAAAATTAAACCAACTTCTTTCCGATTCCACAAAATTTAAAAAGATCTCAAAAAACCCCGTCGATGATATCAAAAAACAGCTCAACACCATAATTAACCGCATCAATAATAATAGTTCAATAAAATTCAATAAACTCATTGGTGATTTCTCTCCCGGTTACATCTATGGTAACGTAAAGACACATAAACCCGACAATCCCTTACGCCCTATAATTAGTCAATGCCCAACTCCCACTTATCACATCGCAAAACAGCTCAACACCATTCTCACACCATATGTACCTGACAATTATTGTGTCAAAAGATCAACTGATGTCATCAAATTGTTGAAAGCAAATCGAGATTCGGGAACGATGGCTTCATATGACGTCGAATCTCTTTTCACAAACGTGCCGGTTGATACTACAATACAATACATACTTGATCGAGTATATCGCGATGATACAACTCCATGTTTGGATATTAGAGAAGAGGATCTAAAACGTTTGCTAGAAATATGCACGAAGCAGTCACCGTTTGTATGCCCCGCTGGACATATGTACGTGCAAACCGATGGCGTAGCCATGGGGTCTCCACTGGGAGTCTTGTTCGCAAATTTTTATATGGGAACAATTGAATACAAAATCTTCAAGCGTTATCGTAAACCTCGCGTATATTGTAGATATATCGATGATATATTTGTCATAACCAAATTTGAGAGAGATATAACACAGCTGAATAAATTGTTTCACCTTAACTCATGTTTAAAATTTACTGTGGAAAAAAGTAATGACAATAAATTGACCTATCTTGATATTTTAATTGATCAGTTAACACCCAACACATTTCGCACATCTGTTTACGTCAAACCAACCAACAACGGGATATGCATGAAAGGAAATAGCGAGTGTCCAGATAGGTATAAGAATAGTGTGATAATATCGTATGTCAGACGGGCATATTCACACAGCTCTGAACCACTTGAATTTCGTAAAGAACTCGATAAAATAAAACAATTCCTTGTCAACAATAATTTTAACAATTCAACAATAGATAAAATAATGACCAATGAAATTAGAAAGATTCAAAATAATAATATTAAGGTAAATGATAACAATGAAAACGTTCAAAACAACTCAAGTTATAATCACAATGTAACCGACAATGATAACCACGTTTCTATCGATCATAACAGCCATAACAACACAAGCAACACTGACAACAACACAAGAAACAACACAAACAACAATGACGACAATATAAGCGATTATAACACGAACAATAATGATAGACGTATTATCAATGATCATGATAATGATAACACAAATAACAACGAAAACAATGGTAACCATGTTACTATTGCACAAGTCATTGTCGATAACCTAATCAACAACGACAACCATGTTATTTCCAATAATCTTGTCAGTAATGTAAACAACTCAAACAACGACGTTGTTGCTGATCATGTCGGTGACAATAATGCAAACTCTATTACCAACTCCAACAACAATAACAGCGACAATAACGATGACCATGTGGATCATGTCAATGATAACAACACAATCAATGACAACCTCGTTATCGCAAACTCCATTCATAACAATAACAACAACTCANACAACAATACCGACAGTGCAAAATTAACTTTATTTTATCGTAACTTAATGAGCTCTTCGTATAAAGAAGACGAATATATAATTAGAAAAATCATTAAAAAAGGAGTCCATCCAGTTGATTCTAATGAAAAAATAAACCTTCTTATTTATTATAAAAATTTTAAGTCGCAACAACTACTAATAAAAAATAGTCCCAACGTTAAACTAGCAACAACACAGCACTCCCACGTCATCTACCAATTTCTGTCCTCACGAAGACTGTAGGCTTCGTCCATCTTCTTATATTGGAATGACTACCACAAAACTGACACGCCGTTTAACCTGCCATTTGAACATCGGAGCTCCAAATCAACACTACCATGACTGCCACACCCAGCAATTATCCCGCAAAATATTAGAAGATAATACTAAAATATTAATGAAAGACACTAATTTTAACAGACTACAAATTTTAGAATCCCTATTTATTAATATTTATAAACCTAATTTGAACAAACAAATTTATTCCAATTTTATTTTACCTTCATCACGAAATGTTTAATTTATTATTATTATTATTAACATAATATTGCACATATAATATATTTTATTATGTTATATTACAAAATAATTGTTTATTATACTTAATTTAACTACTTACGTTATTTAACTTTAATCGTTAAGTTACTTTCGCGCTCAACTCTTATTACGTCATCTGACAGTTTATTGTTATGTTTTATTTGAATTAATATTAAATTGCCTGAAGATGAATTATAAAATTCGAAACGTCGCTTAATAAATAATTATATAATGAATATTGGTGTTCTAATTTTTAATTTAAATTATAATTATAAAAAACTAATAAAAAAAATAGAAAATCTTAATAAAAAATTAAATAACAATATAAGCATCGCGTTTATATAAATATATATATATATATATATATATATATATATATATATATATATATATATGGAATGGAATAAAATGGAAAGGAAGTACAGAGAGACTTTAAATCATCATAATAGGGAAGTGTGGAAAAATGCTCTGCGATCAAAAAATATTTTATTCGCCCAGAAAAAAAAAATTTGTTTTGGAAAAAAATCATTTTTGAAAATAACAGAAATCCTAAAAAAATTTGGACTGTGGTAAATAATCTGTTGTGCAAGGAAAAAACTTCAAATTCATCTACCAACTTTGAAGTGAACGATTTTGCTACATTCTTTTATGACAAAATTATAAATGTACAAAAATCGATGGTGTATGATGAGAAGTTTAATCATTCATCTGGTTTCTGCTGCAGCAACTTGTTTTCAGTTTTTCTTGTTTATGACGAAAGCGAAATTGTTGAAGCAGTTTTGAACTCTCCTTCTAAAACATGTTCACTGGATTGTGTTCCTTCACATTTTTTCAAAAAATATATAGGATTGTTTTCAAAATATTTGACTGATTTTATAAACTTATGTTTACGTACTGGTGAGTTTCCGGCCATGTTAAAGCATGCTACAATTTCTCCTCTTTTGAAAAAGGAAAAATTAGATAATTCTGATCTTAATAATTATAGACCGGTTTAAAATATGTCGTTTTTGTCAAAATTAATTGAAAGATTAGTTTCTATGTAGCTTATGAAACACTTGGATAAAAACAATTTGTTACCGGTATATCAGTCAGGTTATAGAAGACATCATTCTACCGAAACTGCTTTGTTACTTGTGTTATCGAAGTTGCATGAAAATATAAACGACAGCAAACCATCTCTTCTTGGATTCTTAGATATAAGTTCGGCATTTGACTGTATCGACCATTGCATTCTTCTTAAACGTCTTAATCATAGATTTGGAATAACTGGTTCTGTCGAACAATGGTTTTGGTCGTACTTAACAGACAGAACTCAGCAGGTAATCTACAAGAATAAGACCTCTTCGGTTCAAACAATAAGATTTGGTGTTCCACAGGGCTCGGTTCTCGGACCAATCTTGTTTATTCTTTACACCTCAGAAATTATTGAGGCAATCAGATTACATGGTTTGGAATGTCAAGCATTTGCAGATGATATTCAGCTATTCGCCACAGAATCGTCTACCAACTTTCGTCTTGCAGTTGATCCTTTTGTTAAATGTTTGGTCAAAATCGAGAAATGGATGGCAAATAATCGTCTTAAGCTCAATCAAAGCAAGACGCAAACTCTTCTGGTTGGAACTTGGCAACAGCTGTCTAGAATTAAAATTAATTCAGTTATCATTGAGGGCTCAAATATAAACTTCATTCCCAAAGCTACAAACTTTGGTGTCATTTTTGATTCTAGGCTGGCAATGACTGAACATATCAAGTTTTTATCTGGCACTGCAACCCTACAACTGCGAAAATTGAAATAATCCGCCAAAAGTTAACCAAAGATGTTATTCAAAAATTAGTGCATTCGTTTATTCATTCTAGACTGGATTACTGCAACAGCCTATTTTATGGTTTGCCTGAAAAATTGTTATCTGTGCTTCAGTCAATTCAGAATCGGGCAGCTAAGATCGTGGTTGGTGCAAAAAAGTTTGACCATGTTCCCCGATATTCAGAGAACTGCCCTGGTTGATGGTCAAAAAAAGAATTTTGTTCAAAATAACAACAATCATGTTCAAATGTATGAAGGGAATAGCGCCAGTTTATTTGAAAGAAATGCATGCACCGAAACAACTGTCTTTTAAAACTGTCTGCTTAAGGTCTGATGATAGCAACTTGTTATGCGTGCCCCAAACCAATTTGAAAATGGCAGAGAAAAGTTTCTCAGTAATTGGCCAGCCGTTTGGAATAGTCTACCAAGTTATCTAAGACAGCCCGAACTGACAGAAAAATCGTTCAAGAAATTATTGAAATCATTTTTGTTTTTATTATAAAATTTTGTTTATTGTAGCAATTCAACTGTTTTTTTTAGATAGTGCTTTTGAGAAACATTTTGTTTGTAATTAGCGCTATGCAAATTTTCGAATAGTAATATATATATATATATATATATATATACATAGTTTGGAACGAGGCTTTCTTTGCATATATCGTTAAATTTATATGCCCATTCTGCATTTAGTAGTTTTTTAAAGACAACTTCAACACGACGTAAATTTTTATACTCGTATTTAAATATTAAAGTTTGGCACATGCGTGGGCACACAGATAGACTAAACGTCTGAATAATAGTTTTGTTATTATCTGTGTAAACGAACATGTATGTTTATATGAGTTTATATTTATACGTTTGATTGTAAGATTGCATGTACAATTGCGAAACGATGTTTCCACTATAATGCGGTTATGCGTATGCAAGTGATATTTCCATTCACGATATATTTATTCGATACATTCCACACAATGAAATAACACGATATAAGCTCATAGCTTCTTACTATACACACAATATATATTCTTACTATTCCACACAATGAAATAACACGATATAAGCTCATAGCTTCTTACTATACACACTGCTTTCTACCGGTTTTAAATTTATAAATTGAATTTTAATTAGACATATTTAATATAATTTAATTGCATTATTTTAATATATAATAACTTAATTTTGCCTTATTTAACTTCGTTTTAATTATTTAATTATCAATTTCATTTTCATGTTTATTCCTTTATTTAACCTTGTTTTAAAGGTACGTTTCATATGTTTTTTTAAATCTTTTTAAATTGTTTCACACCATTGTTAAAACCCAATATAATTTCAATATTTACTTTAATATTATTTTAATAATCTTAATTTAATTTCATCTTAAAATATTAAATCCAGCTTCGACGATGGCTAAATAGCCGAAACAGAGCTGTCAGCTGACACTTACAACATTAATTAAATTATGAAATTAAATAAATACGAGTATAAAATTTACGTTGTGTTGAAGTTGTCTTTAAAAAACTACTATCAAGAGGGTTTGGACATCTTTGTTTTAGTGGAAACATGGCATGGTTCAACAGACAATATTTCAGTAAAATCATCTATACCATCAGGATATCGTTATGTTGATTTTCTTAGATTAAATGATCCGCGGCATGGAGGAATAATTGTAGTTTTTAGATCAAACTTTAAATATAAATTAATTGAACTACCTGTTCTAACAACGTTCGAGGCTGTAGCTAATAAAATGGTCGTAAATAATAAAGACTTTGTTTTATTGGCGTTATACCGACCTGGTTCGGCTCAAGTCAGTTCCACATTTTCGATGAACTCATATGTGTTTTGGAAAATATTACAATTTTAAGTTTGAATGTTATGTTAGTTGGTGATTTTAACATACACGTTGAAATAAACAAAGATCGACATACCGTTAATCTGATTGAAGTGTTTGAAATGTTCCAATTAACAAATTACATCAATGAGTCAACACATGTTCTCGGTGGTACACTTGATTTGATAGTTACTTCACACAATTTTGAAATTACAAATATCAGGTTATTCCCTTGTGGAGTTTACTCAGATCATAGCTTAATACATGTTGACATACCGATAACTCGAGCATGTAATAACAAAACTTCAAGATTAGCTAGGTCATGGAAACGTATTGATGAAAATATACTGACCATGCATGTTATGAATTCGCCACTGCATGAGCCGTGTCAAAGTCGAGATGTGAATCGTGAATTTGATGTTTTAAATAACGAAATGAGGAAGATTGCTGACAAAATTGCGCCTCTCCGGTTTATCGAGCATAGAAGTGATCTTACGGCTCCGTGGTTTGATGATGAGTGTAGAGCAGCTAAAAGATACTGTCGAAGTAAAGAAAGGAAATACAGACGTTGTTTGTCATCAGTGAGTCGAAATGAATGGATTGCTTCTTTGAAAAATAAAACCAAACTATTTTCAATAAAAAGAAATGATTACTGGAAAACGTTGATTGCTGATAGTAATGGTGATTCAAAGGGTCTATGGAACGTAGTAAACAAAATTTTTTGTAAAGGTAACCATAGCTTACTTTATGATAATGTTGACATCACGGCTTCTCAATTTAAGGTTTTTTTTTTCAAGAAAAGACCGATCGGATCAAACATACTATCAGTATTAACGAAAAACCTTCTTTTGACAGATGTAGGCTTACCGAAAATTGTCTGCTCACAAATTTTGCTGTCGTTGAGGAACTAGACATAAAGAAAATTGTGCTTGATCTACCGGCTAAAACCTGTATGTTAGATGTTTTTCCGACTCATGTGCTTAAAAAACATATAGATATTTTTATTGTTTTTCTCGCAAGCCTCGTTAACTTATGTTTGCAAGAGGGAGTATTTCCGAATAAATGTAAGCACGC